TTCACACAGAAAAACAATTACAGCATATACACGCAGTGAATGATGATGAGTGATGCTAAGCTTGGAAGGATTTTCAGGCAAATCATGAATCATCCGTTGGCCACGTCCAACTGCACGTTGGTCTGCCCTTCTGTCCGTTTGTCCGTCTGTCTGTCTGTGCGTCCATCTGCCGGCAATTTGTCCGTCGGTGAAAATGGTGAACACTCCAAGTACCACAATCTCACATATTTTAATCATGTATTTACATACAAGTACCGCCATCTAGCGGACACTCCTATGACTAAAGTGAGCGGTGGCTACTACATACAGGAGACGCACGACACATGCCTTGGGGAGCTTTGCCCTTAAAGATATTCTACAATGTGCTGCTGCAGCTTCAATACTAGAGAAAAGCTGGAGGATGGCTTGAAAACTGAGATGCTTACGTGGCATCTGTGATACAGTGTTACGCGTTGCTCACTTTGAAGAGAAGCTGTTTTTCAGCGGTCACTGACCCTTTCATGTTTGCCCTTTCAAAGCATGCGCTGGAAAAAAAGGTAGTTGTGGAAACTGCATGCTCGCCCTAACTTCAAGAAGTTCGTCGACACTAGTGTCCATGTCCTCTATAAGCATCACTATTCGGCGTAGTCCTTGTTACGTTAGGGTGATGAGGGTAAGGGCTAGTAAAACGCAAACTAAAATTTGCTCTCAAGGATGCCCTATCGACCCATAAGACACGGTTATCTACCATGCTTTCGCATATTTTCAGGCTGAGAACTGCAACTTAAGGCTGGTTGCAACTTGATTTCGCAATGTAAACGATAAGGTATTGGCAGTCAACTAAAAGACAACGTAACTGCAGTAACCAGAGCGTTGCAGTTTCGAATAAGTATTGATATATAGTATTATCAAATGACCACAAAATTCAATTGACTTGTCATCATGGTATAACATGCGCCTGTTGCATACATCGGTGGTGAAAACGCTGCAATCGGATGTGATTTCTAATTGTTGGTCGATTTATTGGCGCACACAAATATATATAATATGTTGTAATTTGTTTTTTAAGAAGATTTAAGTAAAGAGACTTGCACCAAGTACGATGTGGCATGTCTTTGCACCTGAAAAGTCAGCCCTGTTTGCGAAATAACGAGTGCCAAGAAAGTCACCCACGTGCACAACTTGTGATAATGAGATGCCTGTTTACAAAACAGAGATCATCCAACTACAAGAAGATCGACTTTGTGAACAGTGCCAGTTGTTGCCTCAGACGCCTCGCCTCTATGGCGGGGACCTTCCTCTGGGGAGGAAAATCAGCAAAGGTACAAGGGAAAATTTTACAGCTTCCCACAAACCGTGGAGGCTTGAGTCTCCCAGACATAGCACCGTTCACGAGAGCGCTGGCTGCAAAAACAACACAGAAGCTCTTCGATGACAGCAACTACCCCATGCACAAGCTCTTGATGTACTGGAGCAGTACACTAACGTACACCAGACTACGAGCGGAAATTCCGCTTAAGTTTTGCAGAGCTCCCAGTGGCTTAAAACGAACAGTGGAGTCAATAGGTTCATGCAGTCTGGAAGATGTTTCATCGCAGGAAATAAGCGAAATGGTGACAAGTAGCACGCTGGGCAAAGAGGAAGGAACAGCATCCTGCTCGAAAAAAACTTGGCAGATCTCACGTACAGTGGGAATCGATGATATGCAAAGGATGAATGAGAACAGTTGATATGTCACTTTAAAATCAGCTCAACGTCACGATGTGGAGGTAAATGATGCCGTACATTACTTCCGTGTCATGATTAATATGTATGGATGTGCCGTTTATCTTCATCTATTCACGTCACGTGATACCAAATTTAGTTTATATTGAGCTGGCGAAACGGCTGCAATAACGCTATGAGCGTCGTATGTTGTCATGTTCTTACATGACACGCGTGGCAGGATTATAATGTTTGCACCAGTCATATCACCAGTCACGCCCCGCGCACCGCGTCATGTCAGAACGTATTAGCGCCTTGACCGTGGTATGTAGTCATGTTTTCACATGACCCGCAACTCATGACTATCAAGTTTGCTCCTGTAGAATACCTTCGTCGTACATTGACGTCACGTAATACAAAATTTGGCATATGTGTAGCTAGCGAAACGGCCGTGAGCGCATCATGAGTGTGGCATGTAGATTGTTGTTACATGACACGCATGACATGATTATCATGTTTGGATGTGTCATTTACCTATGTCGTCCGTTCGGGTCACGTATTACCGAGTTTGGTACATGTGAAGCTAGCGAAACAGCTGCCAGCGAATAATCGGCGTGGCATGAAGTCATGCTGTTACATGAGACGCATCTCATGATTATCGTGTTTGGACCACTCACATACCTTCCTCATCCATTCACGTAAGGTAATACCAAATTTGGTATATGTGACGCTAGCGAAACGGCTGTGAGCACCTTACGAGAGTGGCATGTAGTCATGTTACTGCTTGACACACCTCTCATAACTTTTATGTTAGGGTCGGTCGCTTGTGTTCGGCATGCAATCATGTCATGAAATACCAGTTTTGCAACATGCCATATGAACGAAACCACCGAAAAGCTGCAGGACGCGGAAAATAAATTATTACATTCATAATGTACATGTCCTGATTTGCATGTTACGACTAGTCAAATATGTTCTTCATACAATCATGTTATGCCATACCAAGTTTGGTATAAATACCATTATCGAAACGGCCAGGAGAGCTAAAAGTCGTAGGCGGCTAGTTGGTTGATTGATTGGTTGATTGATTGATTGATTGATTGATTGATTGATTGATTGATTGATTGATTGATTGATTGATTGATTGATTGATTGATTGATTGATTGATTGATTGATTGATTGATTGATTGATGGATGGATGGATGGATGGATGGATGGATGGATGGATGGATGGATGGGTAAGCTGGTGGGTGGATGGGTAAGTGGGTGGATGGATGGGTAAGTGGGTGGATGGATGGATGGATGGACGGACGGACGGACGGACGCGCTCAAAGTTGCCGAAGTTTGCTAAGAAATGCTTCGCATATAAAAGAGCGTGGTACAACCTTGAACACTGTCAACGAAAGCGTACCAGTACTTGGAAGCCCAAGGCATCAGTAATCTTGCTGAAGGCAAGGAAGAAAAAGAACAGAAGAGGAAGCTGCCTGGCAGTTAAGCCACAGCGACGATAGAAGCAAAGAAAAGCCCCTCTGCTATCGTTGCAGCAAGCCGGGAGATAAAGCTTCCGGCTGTTGGACCAGATGTTCAGCACGAAGCAATCACCATACTGGATACGCGAGCAGAGTAGTCACAGTGCGAACGTGTGTCCTACTAGTTCTGGCAGGTATGAAGCTTAATGTATTCTTCTCGGACGTGACCAGATGCAGAGTGAGCAGTAGACGCCGAAGCCTGCCCAGCAAAGTGCTTGTAGCGGGCATGGTATGGTGGACGTCGTCCAGAGCTGTACAACGTTCCGTGGAAGGGGCCAACAGATGCCGATGGTCAAGGAGCGTCTTTAGGAAAAAGTGATCACTGTTCTCCACGATTCCGGCTGCAACAAGGTTGTAGTGAAACGGTTCTTCGTCCCCGCCTCCAAGCTCACTGGTAGTCGCCGAGTGATATGCCACTCGATTGGTCTGAACAGTGTTTGCCAGAAGCCAAAGTATTTATCGATTCCAAGTTTTTCAAGAGAGTTGCAGTCACTGTTTGTATTGAGAACCCCCTGTACGATGTTATCCTTGGCAACGTCGAGGGTGCTGTTGCGATTGCTAACCCCGAGGCCAAAAAAACAGACTTACCAAAGGAGAAAGGGAAAAAGTAGCGAAAAAGCGCAGGAATAAAAGGAGATGGCTGCTACAAGAAAGATGGAAGAGCAAAGGATTTTGCCCGTACCTTGAGTCAACCAGTTTGACGTCAGCACGGAAGAACTGCAGGAATGGCAGAGAAAAGATCCGAAACTGTAGGATTGTTTTCAAGTAATGAACCAGCTGAAAAAAAAAAGACAGTCTATGCATGCAAATGTCATCGAGCTGAAAACAAGATTACAGAACACCTGTAAGATAGCTTACAAAACGCTGCAGAAGACAAGCGCTTCAGGAATGAAACAATGCTGCGACTGGAAACGAAAACCTACAGAGCTGTCTGCGGGTGACCAAGAGTTGCTGCGCCGTCCATCGGACAAGAATAAGCACATACTCACTTAAGAATGTCCCTTCACCATATTAGAAAGTGCAATGACAATAGTTTTCTGGTACACCTGCGTTCGCGAGTTAGATTATTTCATGCCAGTCTCTTCAGAAGACACGAGTGGACGGAAACCGAATCACATCATGGATAGGATCTATCAGAATGCACTTGCTTTCCGTTCGCTCTGATCAGTCGTTAATTTGTGAAGAACACATTTGCAAATAGAGTTGTGTTGTTAGTATTCAGGACTCGGGACAAGTTGTTTTATTGAGACAACTTTCTTGAGTGGGGCGATAACTGTGATAAATGGACAAAATTGGGGGGCTAAACGCGTGTGCGTGTAAACGTTGGTGGAATTCGGAAACGTTTGTGCGGGCTTCAGAGGAGAAGAAGGACGAGAACAAGAAGCCGAGCCAGCTACAGGTGGCGACAGGTGGCACAAGACGAAAAGGAAGAATGAGCAGAGAGCCTAGCAAGACCTTTCAGGAGGGCGCGCTGGACCAGGGCGCTGTCCTTGGAGGTTCCGGGGCCATGTGTACAGAGGACCTGGTGCTAGCCTGGTTTTCATGATGGTGGCTGTCTTGTGGCTGGTGCCGCGCCAGCGTGGCAGAGCACGAGCGGAGAGAGACGATACGCACGACAGCTGCTGAGCTAACGAAAAGGTCCGCCCACTTTATTCGGGGCAGATTATATACAATCTCAGGGGCGCCACCTGCTAGTGGCAGCCGAACTAAATGACTGAAGGGTGGCGACCTCTACATCTCCCCCCTTGAAGACCAGACGGAAGACGGAGGACGCCAGACACTGCACATCACAAGTTCAGGCGGTTCGGAGGCACAACACGGCGGCCACTACGTGTTCGTGTCACACCATCACTGCAGTCACTGTCTGCAGGGGGCAGTCCAAGGGAATCTGGTGGTTGCACTGTAGTAGTTCGCTGGGGTTCCAGAGGAGGCAGTGTTCGCTGTGGCTCCTGCTCCTCAGACGGCGGTGGTTCCACCCCTGTCGCAGGAGGTGCAAAAGGCACTAGGTGACGCCGGTTCCGCTGTAGGACGCCACCCTGCTCCGTTTCCACGACATAACTTCGTGGTCGGCGTGCTGTGCTAAGCACTGTAGCTTTGACCTGATCAGGTCGTACCCAGACACACTGGCCTGTTCGGAGCGATGACAGATCTTGAGCTCTGTGATGCCTGTTAAAGTCAGCAGCCTGTTTCTGCTTGTAGGCTGCATCTTTTCTCCTCACGTCTTTCCTCGACGGCCAGTGAGGACATAACTGGGAGTCCTGTTTCGGCACTTTGGTTCGGAGTTGTCGTCCCATCAAGAGCTGGGCCGGGCTGAAGCCATCGACTTCGGGGGTGTCCCGGTAGCTGAGCAAGGCCAGATGAGTTTCTGTTGCTTTGCGAAACAACTCCTTGATTGTCCTGACCATTCTCTCCGCCTCTCCGTTCGATTGCGCATAGTGCGGGCTGCTGGTGACGTGGTCAAAACCGTAGGATGCCGCCAATGCTGCAAACTCGCGTGAAGAGAACAGTGGACCGTTGTCTGACCTGACTTCTCGCGGAATCCCATGCCGGGCAAAGATGCTTTTGAGAACGTCGATGACTGCCTGAGCCGTTGTGCTCCTCAAGGTTACAACTTCAGGGTACCTGGAGTGGTAGTCCACCACCAAGATGAATGTCTGGCTGCGGAGGTGGAACAGGTCCACGCCGACAAGTTCCCAGGGACGTCCAGGTAGGACTGTGGAAACCAGGGGCTCTGCATGGTTCACCCGAGTGGAAGCACATTGCTCGTAGTTACCAGAGAGGCAATGTCTGCCGAAATTCCAGGCCACCAAATGGACTCTCGAGCGAGAGCTTTCGTCCTGTTGATGCCTTGGTGTCCTTCGTGCAACAGCGTCAAAACAGCCGGCCGAAGAGAATGCGGGATGACCATCCTGGCGCCTTTCAGTAGAACACCGTCGCAGACAGAGAGCTCATCAGCTGCTGAGGCATACTGGAAGAGGTGCAGTGGCAGTTTGGACTTCTGTGGCCAACCATTCTGGCAGAAGGAGGTGAGGGCTCTGCATTCGCCATCGGACTCTTGTGGTTGTCGCACGTCCTCTGGGCTTAGTGGCAAGGCTTCTGACATGCCGCTGACCACTTCAGCTGCAAACAATTCCACGGTGTCCAGGGGGAGGGACGCCTTCTGGGTGATGCGTGACAAGGTATCTGCCGTAGCTAACAGCTTTCCTGGCACGTGGAGCATTCGGAACTGGTATCGCATGGTCTTTAACCTGAGCCTCTGTATGCGAGGCGGCAGCATGTCCAGCTCCATCTTGCCGAAGAGAGAAATGAGTGGTAAGTGATCTGTCTCAACATCAAAGGTGATACCGTGGACGAATTCGTCGAACCGTTGGATAGCCCATGTTGTTGCCAACGCTTCCTTTTTTGTCTGGCTGTAACGCTGCTCTGTCTCGCTCATTGATCTCGAAGCAAACGCAACTGGGCGGCGCTCTCCAGAGGGCTGTGCCTGCAGCAAGACTGCGCCCAGTCCGAATGAGCTTGCGTCAGCCGAAACTGTGGTGGCGTATGATGGATGGTACTTGGCCATGCAATGGTCTGATGTCAGGAGTTCCTTGATTTTCTCGAATGCAGCATTTTGTTCATGCTGCCACACCCAAGTCGCAGACTTGTTTAGAAGTGCTTTGATGGGAGCTGTGACCTCTGAGATGCAAGGCAAAAACCGGGCAAGATGGTTCACCATTCCGAGCAGTCGCCGGACACCTGCGATGTCGGTTGGAGCCTCCATGGCTTTGATTGCTTCGACCTTGTCTGGACTTGGCCTGATGCCTTGTGCTGAAACGATGACTCCTAGGAAGGAGACTTCGGAGACACCAAAACGACACTTGTCTTGGTTCAACGTGAGGCCTGCTTTTGCAAGGCGAGACAGCACCTGGCTCAGCCTGGCATCGTTCTTCTCGCGGGTGCACCCGAAGACCAGATTGTCGTCTATCGTATTGGCGACTCCTTCCTGGCCCTCCAGGATCCTGGCCATCTGTTTTTGGAAGTACTCCGGCGCGGAGGTGATGCCAAAGGGGAGCCGGCAGAAGCAGTATCGGCCAAACGGGGTGATGAACGTTGTGAGCTCTTGGGAGTCTGCAGATAGTTTAACCTGATGAAAACTGGCTGTTGCATCCAGCTTGGAGAAAACTGTTGCGTCGCCAAGGAGGCCAAGGACTTGCTCTACAGTTGGTAGGATGTGGCGTTCCCGAAGGACAACATTGTTCAGCTGAGTCAAGTCAACGCACAGCCGGTAGGAACCATCGGCTTTCCGTACTACAACGAGACCAGAGCACCACGGGGTTGGGTTGTCGACCCTGCGGATCACGCCTCCTTCCTCCAGTTTGTCAAGCTCGTGACGGACGACCTCGCGTAGCGGGATAGGAATCCTGCGAGGCACACTTAGGGAGAAGGGTACGGCGTCAGGTCTCAGAAGGACAGTGTACTCGTCCTTGAGGGTGCCCAATCCCTGGAAGAGCTCAGCACGCAATGTTGCTTTCGGAGTCTGAAGTTCGTCGAGAAACTTTACAACTTCCAGAGCTTGAAGCGCCGGCAGTCCAAGAAGAGATACGGTGAGAGACTGGATCACGTACAAGCGCTGAGAGCTCATTTTCCCGTGCCGCCGAAGTCTCGCCATGTACGAACCCAGCACGCGCAGCGGCTGACCGTCAGGTCCGGTGAGCAGGCTGTTGACGGGGTCGAGCTTGGCCGGCAATGCAGGGAAGTCGCTCGGAACGGCGGACACCTCGGCTCCAGAATTGACCTTGAACTGCGCTGTGTAGTTGTCAACGGTGGTGTCGACGAACTTTGCCGCGGCGGGCGTCCCGACAGCGTGTAGCTGAATGAAGCCGAGCTTCTGTTTTGCCTTCCGCGCGCGGCACACTTCCGCAAAGTGTCCTTTCTTTTTGCAGAAGTTGCAGACGGAGTTTCGAGCAGGGCAGTTAGAACGTGGATGTGGCGCGTGGCCGCAGAATTCACGTGTTGACGGCTGGCAGGAGCGCTCTGCTTTCCGCGGGGGTGAAGGCCGCTTATCGTAGTTGCAGCGGCGAGAGGCGAACTTCTTATCTCGTACGGCGTCGAGGTGTAGCTCGCGGGAGTGCTCTGCGCAGTTTTGAGGCAACGTTTTTTCTTTGTCGGCGTCTTCTGATTGACGGGCCTGCATCCATGCTTCTTTGAGCGTCAACTTCGCGTTCCGGCAAAGCTGGTCCGAAAGGCGCGAGTCGCGGAGGCCGACGACGAATCTATCGCGTACAAGCCTTTGCTCCACCTCAGCTGACGGATAGTTGCACCGCTTCACCATTCTACACAGTTCGGCGTAGTAGGCGTCGACGCTCTCGTCGGGTAACTGAACACGCCAGTGAAAACGTGACGACTCGTACAGTTCATTCGCCGGATGCACGAAGTGGTCGGTGAAGCTAGCGGCAACCGCTTGAAATGAGGCGAGCGATGCGCTGTCGAGCGAGAACGTCTCCAGAAGTGGGTGGGCCTCCGGCCCCATGCAGTACAACAACGAGCGTACCTGCATGTCGCCAGATGCTTGAGTCAGGCCGGAAACGACGGCGTAGTCCTCATAGCGGCGGAGCCATGCTGGCCAGGTTCCGGGGTTCACAAAGTCGAACGGTGCGGGTGGCTGGAGGTTGAGGCTGAGCTTATTCGGCGCCATCGTCGTGCGGTACGGGCGAGTTCGGGATGAGGGGGCGTTACGCAGCCACTTCTGACACCATGTCTTGTGGCTGGTGCCGCGCCAGCGTGGCAGAGCACGAGCGGAGAGAGACGATACGCACGACAGCTGCTCAGCTAACGAAAAGGTCCTCCCACTTTATTCGGGGCAGAATATATACAATCTCAGGGGCGCCACCTGCTAGTGGCAGCTGAACTAAATGACTGAAGGGTGGCGACCTCTACAGTGGCTTCAGCTGGAACATCCCAGATGAAGGCGCACTCCGTGGAGCTCCTCCTGTCTGTGGGGATTGAGGTCCACGAGCTGAGGTACCGGTCCGAGAGCTACTGACACAGGGTGCGGCTCTTGCTACGTTGCCCTGCGTGACAGGGACGATGGGTTCAAGCTCACCGCCTCCTCTTGAGACAGCTGAAAGTCGTCTACAAGGGTGAGGCCTGACGGAGGCTTTGTCTCTTGCTGCGACCACACGCGGGACCTGCCACATGCATGCCTGAGCTCGCTACGGACAAGGGGCATCGCCTTTGTGGATTGTCGCTTCCTTGGCACGCTGGTTCAACTAACTGTGAGCTATCGTGTAGCCACGTAGATTGAACAGTAGGCACTCGGACTTTAGGTAGTTTAAGTGTGTACTTCTGTGTTAGTATTTGTGATAGTCGATCGAGTCTCTTTTTCTATTAGTGTTGTTCGAGATCCACTCCGGCGTCATCTCATATCGTTCATTTCGTTAACCACGCACGGGCAAACGTGACGAACCACCCCTGTCATTACTCTCGGCTTGTATGCGAGTATACAATATATATTGCCACCTGGTGTTCTGTGCCAGTGAACAGAGGATCAGTTCTGTGCCGGTGAACGAGAAAGACGAAGACGAGCAACCTCGTGCCCTAGCAGCGTTCCACACATTAGCACCGCCGCATTTAAAACTCCTCAAATTAGTGTGGGTACCAGGTCAATGCGGATTACAATTAAATGAATTGGCAGATGGACCAGTAATTTCAGTACTTCCCGAGTTAGAATACTTATCAGGGGTTAGATATAGGAAATTCGGTATTTTTACTAGTAGTTTAGAAAATATCACACAATGGACAGATTATCAGCACCTCAAATTTTCATGGAAAGCCCAGTGGAGTCCGTCAAAAAAACTTGAAATTATAATCTCCACATTACGGTGCCGTGTCCCCCCATTAAATTTTCATTTACACAGAGCTGGTGTGACACTTTCCCCCCTTTGTCCGTTCTGTGAAGAACCAGAAACTATTGAACATTATTTTGGCTCATGTCGTAACTATGCATTAATTAGGAAACGACTTTTAGATATTCCATTTTCGAAGCTAGGTTTAAATATAACAACAGAAAATGTTCCAAGTTTTGGTGCCTCTGTTTTGGAAATTGCCACAGAGATGCATTCGATGCGGTGTGTAATTTTATTCAAGAGTCTCGACGTTTTTCAACATAAAGCCCACGTTAACAGATACCCCAAAAAACGGGTCGAAAAGTAATTTTCAATTCTGGATAAATCCGTGACATACCGAATTAATCGGGTTTGGCAAAACCAGCTGTCTGGTCGCCTCTTAAAATCAAGTTGTAGCTATTAGTGTCTACTTTGTTGTTAATTCTTTTTTCTCACTGTCTAAATCTTTGGTTTCTTTCTTTTTTTTAACATACTGTCTTCACAATACTACTCCCCCAACCCCCCCCCCTTTTTTTTTGTTGTAAGCAATAATGCAGTTATCGTCCATATGAGACTATATGTTCTCTTGGCCAATCCCCCAGAGTGGGTATGAGCCATGGATTAGAGGATACATACAAACAAACAAACAAAGCCAGCGGAGACGTCCTTCTTTGTCTCTGAGAATTTTACAGTCGCGTCCCTTTGTACGTTCCTTCGAGCTCTTAGCGCGTGACAACTGGTGGAGCTGCTGGGTACCCTTTGCACCAAACCCCTCCCAGTACAAGAAGCTCCAGCCCCATACCCGTGATTACGCCTGTTCACCGTGCTAGCCGCAGGATCCGTGGACTGGACCCTGAGTTTGAACTTCTCTCAGAGGAAATGACGACCCCAACTATTTCAGGCAGCACTGTCCCAAAAGGCTCCAACCTAGGCGGTATGGAAGGCGCAACGCCATTCCGATACACGCTGTTCAAACCATGAACGCCAAATCCCTTTCATGGTGCTGACCATGCGGATGTTGAAGATTGGCTAGTCCACTATGACTTCGTGGACGCTAATAACATGTGGAATGACACAGACAAGCTCCGACATGTCTACTTCAGTTCGACTGACGGGGCACGTGTTTGGTACGAAAACCGGGCAGGTGTGTTCACGTCATAAGCGGACTTCAAACGCCAGTTTCTCGAAACGTATACAAGGCCCGATCGCCGAGAGCGAGCTGAACGTGAACTCCAGTACCGTATGCAAATACCAAATAAAGGCGTAGCAATGTACGTTGAAGACGTGACACGTCTTTTTCGACGAGCAGACCCTCACACGCCGGAAGAGAAGGTGCGATGCCTGATGCGTGGAGTGAAGGAGCAGTTGTTCGGTGGTCTTGTACGCAGCCCTCCTAAGACTACGTCAGAGCTTCTTGCAGAAGCCGTCCTGATTGAAAGCACGCTTCGGCAACGGACCCAGACGTACGAGCGACAAGTGGACTTTGTCTCTGCTACGAAAAGATTGGGTGTCTTGGGGCCCACGTCGAATTCTTCCGAGACCTCATATGCTCTGTAATTCACGAAGAACTGCAGAAGTTATCTGTACCCTCGGCGACCACTGTCAGTTCTTTGTCCGGCATCGTCCGAGATGTTCAGCAGGCACTACGAGAACCGTCCTGTCAGACAGAGCCGCGGCTTCTAAATGACTTCCCTCGCATGTCGTGTGCGCAAACTCTGCTCCAGCCAGCACCACCTTTGGCTCCGCTTCCCACCGCGGGCCCTGCCATGCTTCCGGCCGACCAAACTCTGCGCCAACCTGCACCACCTTTCACTCCGCCTTATTCCACAGCCCCAGCCGTGCTTCAAGCAGTCCAAGCGGGCCCGTACCTCAGTGACCGCCGACCGATTCCATGAAAATCAGACGTGTGGCGGGCCCCAATCAACGTCCCCTTTGCTATCACTGTGGTGAACCTGGGCACATCTACTGACAGTGCACTTACCGAGAGCTGGGACTTCATAGTTTTTCGGTCAACTCCCCACCTCCTAGGTTCGGCCAGCGGCCTCCAGAAATCGCTGCCTACGTTGCTCAGCAACGCGGATCGACATCTCGGCACCAATCACGCTCTCCATCACCGTAGCGGTTCTCGCCGAATCATCGCACCTATGCGGGCGTGGCGCAGGGCCGGTCACCTAGCCCACGTCGGGAGGAAAACTAGCCTCGGCGACCTTCAGGGGCAAGGCCGCTCAGACTGGTCATGCTAAAGGCCCCCTATCGACGCAGACTGAAGATACCGACGATACATCGACAACGACACCACCGGCTGATTGCGGAAGAGTTTCCTTAGATATTCCTGTTCTGCTAGATGGTCGCGAAGTCAGCGCTTTAGTGGACACTGGTGCGGACTATTCCATAATTAGCAAAAAGCTGGCCGCCCTTCTCAAGAAAGTAACGACGCCTCGGAACCGAACGCCGATTCGTACAGCTGACGGGCATATCGTCACGCCACTCGGTATGTACACGGCAAGACTGCAGGTCCGCGGTTGTACATTTGTTGCCAGTTTGAGCGTTCTCCGGCAGTGTTCTCAAGACCTGATCATAGGCATGGATTTTCTCAGGGAGCATGGTGCTATAATTGACATTCGACTACGTCTAGTCACTTTCGCGACCACAAACGCCACAACAGCTTACGCCGACCCCCGCCACTCCCGAGTGTCTCTTCGCGTCGTCGACGACACTGTCACGTTACCACCCCGTGCAACTGTTGTGGTTCAAGTGGCGTGGGACGGAGTGATGCACGGTGAAGCAGTCGTGGAAAGCAATCACTCGCTTCTGCTGTCTCAAGGTGTCTGCATAGCGAGAAGCCTTGTTGACCTTCGTGATGATCACTGCGACTTTTTTGTCACAAACTTCAGTTACAAGTACCAGCACCTTTTTCCTGGAACTGTCATCGCCTACGCCGACCCAGTCGCCAATGTCACCGAGTGTTTTGATTCCGAGGCCATCGGCACTGCTGAAGCGCCTTTCCGCAGCGTCAACATTATTCCAACGCTTTCTGAAGCAAACAAGCAGCGTTTGAGTGAGCTGTTTGCTGGAGTTCCACACCTGCTTTGCACGTTCTTCGAAGATACGTCAAACACTGATAACGAAACACCATATCATCACCTACGACGACGCGCTTCCCATGTGGCAGCAGCCGTATCGTGTTTCGCCAACCGAACGGCACGCGATTCAAACACAGGTTAACGAATTGCTTCAGGATGGCGTGATACAGCCTTCAAGCAGCCCTTGGTCATCACTAGTCGTTCTTGTGAAAAAGAAAGATGGCACGCTTCGCTTTTGTGTCGACTACAGGAAGTTGAACAATGTCACAAGGAAAGACGTGTACCCATTGCCCAGAGTCGATGTTTCTCTGGACAAGCTGCGACGCGCGAAGTATTTTTCGTCCGTCGACTTGATGAGCAGTTATTGGCAAATAGAGGTCGATAAACGTGACCGGGAAAAGACCGCTTTTGTAACGCCGGATGGCCTTTATGAATTCAAAGTGCTTCCTTTCGGCCTCTGTTTCGCTCCAGCTACATTCCAGCGAATTATGGACACCATCCTGGCAGACCTCATGTGGAAAAGCTGTCTCGTCTACCTCGATGATGTCGTTGTGTTTTCAGAAACATTTGACGAGCATCTTCGTCGCCTTTGGAATGTGCTCGAAGCCATTAGATCGGCCTATCTCACACTCAAGCCTTAGAAATGCAATTTCGGCTACGAAGAATTAAAGTTTCTTGGTCACGTCGTGAGCGCAGTTGGTGTTCGGCCTGATCCTGACAAAACAGCT